AGTTTGGAACATGTTATCTTTACCCAACAGCAAAGATTGACGGTACTGTATATTACTACGCTATAGCGGAGGGTCAATCATTCCACTGATAGAGAGACGTGTTCTGCCAGAATCATTATTATTGTCGGTTTTGAGGGCTTTTCGTCACCACACAAGAAAAATGCATGCAAGTAAAGTTAAGACTATATTCGTAACAATGATCGCGCATAGGAAATGATTGAAATAGGAAACTACTAAGGTAAAAGGGCGACTACTCGTAATCGAGATCGACTGTAAAGAATGAAGAAATAATGGGAAAACAAATAACTAAAGAACGCCAAAAATGGTAAAATTGAAATAATTGCTGACTCGATTGGACAGAGCCTGTTCATAGACGATACTTGAAAGTGAAATCTACAGTCCATGCCCCCTAGCACCGCCTTAAGCAGAATTTTACATATAACATGAATGGTAAAACTTTGAACTTAGGGACCACCACGGAAAGTTTACGGTCTAAATAAGTTTGAAATGACTACGATTAAATTATAAGAAATAAAGACAAATTATCATCTTTGCCACTTCAACCCACACGCCTTTTAGAAGAGGCACTATTTCTGATTTTCATGGTTTTGTTTTAGTAACATAGCCATTACTTATTTGTAAATAGTCGACATATTATGGTACCATGCGAAGCTTATAAAAACCTGGCAAGCTTCACTATAACCAAGAGCATCACATATCTCGACCTTACAATGTGCTTTTTTGCAAATATTATTATTCTTAAGAGACAAAGTTGTGCGAATGTATACGAGCTATTGCATGATACGGACTTATCATTCAAATAATTGCATTATTTACATTTACGATCATCTAAGGCGTAATAGTAATTTATTTCATTTTTTTTATACATATTTGTTTTCTTAAAAGAGACTTTAGACTGGCAAAGAATTAAATAAATCGGCTTTAATGAGGGACTGAAGAGGTAAATTGTAATGATATTCTGAACTTTTCTAACCTACATATTACACAAAGCGTTCACTAATATGCTTCCGATCTAATGGCATCGCAAGTTAATAATCATATTCATTTATTTCTAGATTTAAATCAGCTATTCAAAGCTTTACTTGCATTTCGACATCATTCCAGAGTTTATTTCCGTATCTTCGACTGTATCCTATATATAAATGAACACATTTAATAAATGCAGTAATGAACTTTGAATATATCTTGATCACCTTAATTGAATTCAAACATTATATATATCTTTTTATGATATATAGAAAAAATATCTGTGGGTAGTTTAAAATACTGAATTATTTACTTCTTACCATGGTAAACTAGTACAGTTCTAAGTATATGTAGATTCACACTCACAAGCTTTAATCAAATGTAGGACAGAACTTTTTATTGCAACAGAAAGACATCTTAAAAAATTATCTCAAACAACAGCAGCAGCTACAAATAAAGTTACATAAGTGCAACCCCCCACAAAAACAACAACAACAACAACAAAAAGTTGTTCTAAAAGGATGCGATTAAAATACCTTTATGACAGAAAAATGCTTGTCGTGTAAAAGTGTGAGACAAGTTACCTAAAAACCGATACTGAAACATAATGGATCAGAAAACATATTAAAGATAGCAATTAAATTTTTCTTTGTATGGTATTTATTTCGTTTCCACCAAGAAAGTCCAGGCAATGAAGCCACCTTGAACCCATTGCGTCCTGCTTCTCAATTCAAAAATATACACGAAAGACGCAACAGCTTGTGCGTTTGTTTTCCCGGGAGAATTTAGGTCGTCGTGAAGTTTGTCAATAATGATCGTCTGCACATGTTCCTGTTCAGTCATTTATATCAAATAAATGCATTTCCAGAGACAAATATAATGAACAACATAACACAAGATATATATGTATTACTTTGAAGCTCTGATAAATTTAGAACCGGAAAAGCTGTGTTTATTATAACTCTTGCTTTAGACTGCATTTTACAGTTCTTTTCCCCAACACATACAAGACATCTTTTTGAATTATTAGCATGCAATCTTCTCTACATCTTTGCTTCTGACATAAATGAAGACTGACATGCATGATATCCCTAAAGCCTAGATTGATATTCCGTGTTAATATCGCGTAAAAGAGTCATGAATACTCGGCTATTAAAAGTTTCTAATCAATGATTGAATGACTCAAAAGTTAGAGCTATGAGGAAAGTTTCCGGACACGAAAGCGATCAATGCCAAGTAGACCAATAAAGATAAATAGAGTTATAATGAAATAATAAAGTATGGCATTTATTGCATAAATTTGACCTATTCATTAGTCTTTCAGAATCATTGCTTGATCGTAATATCATAGACTTACCCTTTATAAAGTTGAGATTTTCTGTTTTATCAAAATCTGAAATCATATGGTAAAAGGTCACTTTCTTAAAATAATTTTTCCTTTTAAAGAAAGAAAACAACAAAAACAACAAAAAACAAAACAAAACAGACAAACAATTGTTCATAGAGCATGAACTTTGACAATTTCTTTTCTTACTCTATCTGTATTGTCGCCCTTACACAATAGTGGATATTTTCTTTTAATGTCCCATGTAGAATTTAAAGTAGATCGCTACAAAACCAATAAAACACAACCATTTCGAAACATATTGACTTATTCAACTTTTGAGCAGCATCTGAAGAACAAATCGATTGTATAATTTATGAAAATACGTAAACAAGTTTAGCTTATAATTTTTATTGCATTTTATTCTTGTTTGAATTGATACAATATATTTGTGTATAACATCTGTTATTATGGTTTCTTTAAGCGTTCTCATTTGTTTGCTTTAGGATGGTTGTAAAGCATGTCTTGTTTTTTAGCGACCTATCATTATGTTTGTCTGAATCCTCGATATATTTTCTCTATTTCAAGACATGCTTGAATGTCTGCTTTTGTCATTAAACATGTTAATGCGATTATTACCGTCTGACTTTACTGTCCTCATTTGCAACGTTTGCAGTGAGTAGTTCATGACATTGCTTTGATTAACTTCATTTGAAATTCTCCCTAACATAATTCCTATTTTTTCCTTGATATCAAAAATTTCTTTGTTTCTTTGAATGAATAACGACATGAATGTGAAAGAAAAGAAGTTTTCGTGCCTAAATAATTACAAAGACAGTATCGAAACATCACGAGTCTTTGAGTCTTGAAGAAAAAAAAAGAAGGAAATTTTTACCTTTTTAATGCATTTCTTTGAATCTGACCCGTTGGACAACTTTAATTTTTCTAAGGCAAAAATTAAATGTAAAGTGTAGATGTAACTAAATCTAAAGCGTTATTTTCTCATTCATGCATTACTTGATATTTTCACGACAATTTACGGCGTTTTTGTAACATTTTTGTTCATCATTATTTATTTATGTGATGAAACATTTAGAGTTCGGACCAGCAAAGAATTACACAAATTACTTTAAATAAGGGACTGACGAGAGGAGATACATTAATTAATGACTTTCAGAACATTTCTTATCTATATATCGTCTATGTTTAGTAATATACGGCCTATCTAATGACATCGCAAGTTAATTAAGTATATTCATTCATTTTAGACTTAAATCAGCTATTCAAAGCTTTACTTGCATATTAACAATATCCCGGAGCTTCGTCTGTAGGCAGTTGCACTATAAATGCAGTAATGAACGTTGAATATATCTTGATCGCCGTTGGCTTAATTCAAGATATTATGTACGAGTATCTATTTCTACGTTATAAAAAAGGAAAAACAATTATCAACGCGTGGGTTGACATACGAATTTATCATATTACTTTCTAGAAGTTACCATGGTAATCGGGTTTATCACATTTATGTCATTTAAAGCCTTTGTTTGATTAATAAATCTATTTGCCATCTTTTCAAGTCTATTTTAGTAACAATCATTGAAAAAATTTAAATCATTAAAATCTTTAGATGTTGAATTCTTTCTTCAAAGTGTTTGCTACATCCTACAAATTGTTTAGCCAATAACAGTAATGACATTGGCCAGTACCTGCAAAAATTTCTTTCAATAACTGTTTGATTCAATAGGTAAAGTCCTTGCTCATGAGTAATTAAAGCTTTTCCTAACTTTTGTGATTATGCTTTTTAATGTTGGCGGCAACTGAATATACCAATGCGACTAGTGCATACCAGGATATATGTCGTCTGCTCATCGTCTGAAAGATGATTGAAAGATGGACAAGGGCATTTAAGCTATTTAGCATGCTAAGGGTTAAACATTTAAACTTCTATTCAAAACACAAACATACAAAAAATATTATTTTTGTTTATTGCCTTCACTATGTTTTGTTTTCAATTACATCTCAATTAAACAATTACTGGTGTCCAATTCAAGTTAACAATCTAACCAACAATGCTTATATCTGCACTTCCCCTGAAATAAAAAGAAGAGGAATAAAATATTTAATCTAGAACTGTTGTGTTACAAAATACATGTAAATGACATTTACCAGTAAACAATTGAAATGACTTAAAGGATGTCGACATTTGATAAATGATATTAAAATTGATATAGATTACATGACGTCATTTAATATATAATCAGTTCAATGAAAACAAACGCTTTTCATCTTCAGAAAAAATTGACGTTGATGCAACGTCCGTTTAAGTTTACGCTAATCAGAACGTGACATTAACGCAAAAATAAAAACTTTGTCAAATAAATACAGAATCCTTCATGAACATAATTAGAGCAATAAACAATAAATTACACATTGATTATGGATCTGCTCATGTGATACAAAAATTCTCATAATTAATAATAATAAAAAAACCTTGATATGAGAAAAAACTCATACATGTATATGTATACCGGCCCGATAATATGCTTGAAAGATGGATGACAAAGTTATAAATTGTACAAAACTTTTGCATTGCTGTAGTATGTTTTCTTCTCATATCAATTTTCCCCCCAACAAAACAAGGAGTAATGAGTGATACAGCGTTGGCTGTATTTCCTTTCTATATACTTACTCTGCTTTACACAAAGCAAAGTTATGAACCTCGCACAGGTTATCATCCCATTTTAAATCAGCAGAATTGAATATAGCCAGGCAGTGTTGTCCCATCAGATTGTCGGGCTCTCCGGTTGCCCAGTTGAAATAGGACAATGGTTCAAGTGTTTCAGGAGCTACCCACTGCCCCTCCTGTAACAAATCTGTTCCGCCTATCCATATTTGACCCGTTGATATATTGTCTACAATTATACAGTATATATTAGTTTTAGAGCCCTAAAAATGTTACATTTCTGTATTTTGAAAAAACCTTGAAGCTACATAAATCAAAAATATATTATTTTTGTTTATGATCGAACTTTGTAAATGCATATTTTACGGCATGTAAAATGCACATGAATTGCCTTAATTAAATGGAAAATGATTACTTATTAATTACTTTACTTCTAAGGGGAGAGGTGGCCTATTTCTGAACATTGGTTCGAGCCCTACTCGGGTCACGACCATGTTCACACAAATGACACCAGTACTGGTTTAAACTTGTAATAAATGTTTATAGAAATTCACCAGTTTCTAATATATTAATTACGTCCTCGTCTTAATACATTTCAGACATCAAGGAATACAGAGTTACTTACTGTGCTCTCGTTTCAGCATCCCTTCAACGAACAATCTTTCATCGTTGTTTTCTATAACTGCGAGGGAGGCGCCTAAAGCTTTACAATATTGCTTTCAGGAAAAGATAAAATAAAACTGAATTATTGTATTAATAACACGACACCAGTACTAAAATAAAATCACCATCACCAGCAGCAAAACAACAACAACAACACCTTTACACTACAACGAGACGTCTTTACACACTGAAACAAAAAGAACACAACCACCATCGCCGCCACCAGAGCAGTATCAATGTCAACAGTAGTCACATAAGATTATCAACAACAAAACGTAATAACGGCAACATTATACATGTACAGTCATTCGCAAATGTATAATGCATATTTAAATGAAATGAAACAACAAGAATATTTGCAATTGAATTAGTGGCAGCAACAACAACAGTAAGAAGCAACAGCACCACAGTCGTGCCCACAAGTCATCATCAATCAAAGCAATTATTTTGAAGCCTGTATTCTTATAATATAAATGTACGAACATCATTACGCCTTTTGCAAGCACTGCATTTATCAGCAGGATAAGCCCTCAAACGAGAGAGCACTTAGAAACCTTTGTACATATCACTAACATAACGGTTTATCTCGTTTTATTTATATAAAGAAAGTTGAAATTTTGTGACATTGTAGTATTGTGTAATCTTGACACTTCGTTTTCAAAACATATATTTGTATATTATAAATACTTGAAATAACCTACCTGGGCCTCTGCCCATGAAGCCTTCAATGGTAACAAAGCATAGCAATAATCACCGTGTGAGGAGTACCCATCTTTACAGTTTGCACACCATACTGCCAGTATAAAGGAAGATATTTCAAAAATTGTATGAAACAATATTGCTATACAATATTCTTTCAAGTATTGATGGATATATATGCAGTCTTCATTATAAATAGTGAAGAGTGTCATCTGAAATTACCGAAGCGCATCACAATAAGAAAAGTATACATTCTGATATATTATCATCATTGAAAGCAACAACGACAACACCCAGGCCAATACAAACACAAAAAATCGTACAAAATGGTTTATCTAAGGAACGCCCAAAATTTTTTTTGTCCTTGCATAAGGCTTCATAATTGAATATATTTAAACTGTTAAGGAATACAACTTTCGATTTCTTAAGTGAATTACCATAGTAGGTAAAACAAAGATTAATTAATTTAGGTTAACATATATTAGTTAATACATTCCTATTTAGAGGAGCTCTAACAAATTAAATACACGACAACGCTCATTCTTTCAGACATTTTGTTGAATTTTCATAAAGACAACGACAAAATAGAAATCAAGTCTTAGACGTCAAAGGAATGTAAAGCCATAATGAATTTTCATGCTAACCAAAGTAATTAAAAATGGCAACCTCCAAGATCGTCTTACACGGACAAACTAAAAAAAGACTTTAGACTCCGGTTTGATCGAAACTGTCAATGAATAGTAGTGAGAAATGCATGCCACTGTCCACACTCTCTAGCACCGCAGTAAGAATAATTCAGTATCAACGTGAAACCCTGAACTTAATGACATATATAGATGATATGTTCATACGGTGGTGACCATGGAACATTCAATGTGACACGTAATTAAAAAATAAGAAATTAAAGATAAAAGTCACAGTAAAATTCCTTAAATTCACTTATGAAATTGAAAAATCAAACCTATTTATCGGGTTTGTTAGAAATGTCGATTGCAGGATAGGACTCTGGCGTTCTTAGCTAAGGTTGCTTCATTTGAAAGAGACAATTAAACAAGAGTAAGACAAAGTTTTACTTACCTAAACATACGGACAAAAGAATGTATAATAGTTGTAGAAGTCCCATTTTTAGAGATAGCGATAGTTTCAAATACGAAGCAAATAATGTTAGTAACTTATCTAAAGATAAATACCACGCGTTTCCATTTATAGACTTGCACTTGATATGTTGAATTGATAACTGTAATTTTTGTACTGTAATGGAGAACTAGAATAGAAAAGAACAGAACTGAAAAGATATATTCATTTTAGAGTTAAGAACTAAGTATCTACAAATCTTCTAATAAATACAAATAATATAATATCATGTAAAGAAAATGGATGTTTGTAATTGAAATTCATAATGGTATTAGTTAAACATATCACATTTAAAGAATTATACTTCGGTTTGAATAGTTGGTGTATAACTGAAATAAGTCAACTTTTATTTATGTAAACATAGACCACATGGAAATATGCCATAACCCTAAAATCAACTATGACGCGAATTATGTGTTGATTTCTAGATTGTTGTATAGATTTCTTTTATCTTAAATAAATTACGTAAGCAGTGTATTCTGTCGGATGTCGTCAATATGCACATTTCAATTGATAAATGTTCTATTTTATTGAATCTTTTTTTCTTTGGAATGTTTTTTTTTTAGAAAACACGACTATAACATTACAATAATATTAATATAACTCATAAAATTTACATCATACTTGTTCTGTTTTGCCTTGCCTTTTTTCTACAAAACTTTTGTTATAGTATCTAGAAAGTTACTCATTGACCAATTACCTGAATCATCTGTTTCATTTGTTACTTTTTGGCAATAACTAAACTTATAGTGAATAAGTTTTTTGTATGGAAATCAAAATACTACTTTGCTTACATTTTGCTTTTGTTATGAAAATTTTACATTTATCGCTACTTTCTTCATGTAATAAGCGTATAACATTCTCTAGAACTATTATTTAATAATTATACAATTCATGTTTACTCTTTCTATAGAAATAACAATTTATTTGTTTGTGAGACATAATGTGCCTTTAAGGTTTTTTTTCTCTCAAATAATAAGTATGACAAGACAATAGATAGAAATGAAAGAATGGTTTAGAGAAAAAAGTGCTGAAATGAGATAATTTGTTTAGTTTGGGTATACCGTAAATATTTTAGTTTGTCTTTGCACAAATATCGTTAAACATGTAAATGCGACTTACAGCAGAGATAGTATAATGTCTTAACATTTAAGCTTCCTTTATAAAGATAAGCACACAATACGATCGTTCACAATGGAAATTTTACTTAATATACAAGCGGCAAAATATAATTTTCTTATATCCTATTGCTGACATTAATGTTGTAATGAAAATGGCATATTTTCAGGAAACATACAAAATCTCAACTACATTTAATCGTAAAACAAATAAAATTCCGAAGTCCCATGTGAACTATCTGTCGAAATTATTTTATTAAAATCGGCCATTTGTTACGGTTAAATCGAATCTCTCGTCGTGTGAATGTGTGGGAATAGCTTACCTAAACCGATAAGGAAACATACTGGATCAGAAAACCTATTAAAGATAGCATTAAATTTCTTTGTATGTATTATTTGTTTTACCAAGAAGTCAGGCGATGAAGCACACTGGAACCATTGCGTCTGCTTATCAATCAAATACACACAAAGACGCAACAGTTTGTACGTTTATTTTCTCGTGAGAATTTAAGTCCTCGTGAACTTTGTCAATAATTTCGTCTGCGCATGTTCCTATTCAGTCATTTGTATCAAATAAATTAATTCATTTCTAGAGACAAATATAAAGATCAACAGAACACAACACATATATGTATAACTTGTAAGCTCTAAATTTAGAACCGGAAAGCTGTGCTTATTATAATACTTGATTTTTACTGCATTTTATAGTTTTTTCGACACATAGAAGGCATCTTTTTGAAATGCTACTAGCATGTAATTTTCTCTACATCTTTGCTTTGCACACAAATGAAAACTGACTTGCATGATATCCCTTAAGCCTAGATTGATATTCCGTGTTAATATCGCGTTAACGAGTCATGAATACTCGATAATTGAAGTAACTTCCATCAATGATTGATTGACTCTGCATTTGGAGCTAGCGGAAATTTTCTGGTGGAAATATTTTCTTTTCATAACCTAATCCAATAACACAAAAACTTAACGAATATAGATATAATAAAATCATAATGTTCGGAATATGCTGCATGCATTTGTCCTATTGAGTAGTGTTAGAGACATTGTATAATTGCAAAAGTAATGCATTTTATCTTTAAAAAATCGAGCTTCTCTGTTTTGTCAATGGAAATTGATAAATATCTGAGATAATGGAACTAAGCATTACTTCATGTTGACCTCCTCTTTGAGAAAAAAAACAACAAAAAAAAAAAAACAAAAAAAAACAATTGTCCAAAGAGCATATACTTTGACAATTCCCTTTTCCAACTATTTGCTGTATTGTCGCCCTTACACAACAATCGATGTTGTCTGTAAATATTCCCTTGTTGAGTTTGAAGGAGATCGCTACAATATAATTATCGATCATACACGATATTATAGATACACTACTGCTCCAATGGATTTTACTTATTTAACTTTTGAGAAACATCTCAAGAACAAATCGATTGTAAAACTAATTAAAATACATACCACACAAATTTTGGCTTAGAATTATTATTGCAAAAGAGGCAATCATTTACTTCAATATAATCGTTGTCATATAGTTGCCTGGTCTCGCGACACCATGGGCAATACTTCAGGTACATATAAACATTTTGTAGCCAGCGTCTCCAAGCTGTAAATTGAACCGAGTTTCGAAACGAGGCTTATTTGATTTACAACTTAACAATTTAGAAATTCTGAAACAAAATTAATCATCCAATATGGTGATAGATACAATTTGATTATGAAATAAATTCCAAAGATGATAATGCTGTCTTTTCGTACATAAATGTATGTATGAATCAGTGTATAAAAAAGTTATTGCTAGAAAGAGGTATAATACTTGGTAATAAAACTTTGACTTTCAGGCATCTGCAGAATTGCAACTATATATGTTATGACATACGTTAATTAAAGAAGGAAAGCCTAGGGATGCTCAATTTTAATTAGTTTTTATACCATAAAGTCAATTATATTTCATTCTCTTTATGGATGCAGTAAAAACTGTTTACAGTGACCTTCGATGGGAGAAAGAAAAAAAAAAAGGTCACTATAGACAGGGAGTCACTGTGGACAGTCCCTACATAATTCGGATACATTCGAGACTGTCGGGAGAAGTTTGGAGATATATTAGGCGTCATCTGGAGAATTATAAGTTAGGGATAAACCAGAAAGGAAATAAGAAACACCTCTAAAATAAAACAATTCTACTATAAATCTACTTTTCATAAATGTATACCAATAGCAAACACAATATTTGCATATACTGTATACATGTAGTGAGTATGTTTAGTTGGTAACAATTAATATTCAGGGCAGATAGAGCAGTGCCGCTTGCCATATTGGCAATGAGTCAGGCTGGTCATCGTCTATAATGTTCGTTTAGCGATTGCCTACAAGCCAGAATGTTAGAGACATTTAATTTTGTATAATCAGCCTGTTTACTTTACGGAAATCAAAGACGAAAATTGATTGAACCTATCGACATTTTGTGTAATTGTCAACAAACAGCCACAGTGTATTAGTGTGTCGCCGATTGGTCAATGCAAACTGCCGTAGATACAACGCGCGTTCTGATTCGTCAATCGCATGTATACAAACTGAGAGAGATATACATAGTGAACTCTTGCCTTGCGGCGTGTATTAGACTTTGTTGATGTTGACACGCGTTCTTTAAACTAGCGGATTAACAGTAATTGGCTGTAATTGAGAGGTAAACAAATTGTTAACAGACCTAGCCGCGTAAATAAGTATGACAGATCATTAAAAAAATCGGGCGACTTCAAAATCACTTTGAAGCTTGTTTAAGGCGAAGTCGCTGATCCGAAGGCAACTTCTTCGCCGAAGTCGCCCCCTAGCTCGAGCCCTGCTCCCTTTGCAAAAGTCGCTTTGCACGGCTCATATACCGTAACGGGTGACTTAATCATGGTCGTTGTACGGACTAGACAGGGAGTCGCTACATACCATTTATATAGCAAATACTGTTCGGCGCACTTAACTATGGTCACTAAAGACAGAACGTCGCTATATACAGGGGGTCACTAAGACAGTCTTTACTGTATATCCAAAGAATAAAACATCTCACATTCAAATTTTATTTTCATTCCAGTTTGATGGAATATATTCTTAAATCATGTAGTAATATATTTTCATTTTATGTCCAAGTTTGTTTTCACCAGAATGGTTGTGTACCATGTATTATTTCCAGTGAGACTTTGATCCAAATTGTAGATATGTTTACTCTACTTTTAAGTCAATTAAACCTCATTGTGAAATAAAAGTTATATACGGATTTAAACAGACATACAAGAATTTATGTTAGAAATACGTCTGTCATTAAACATGTAAATGCAATTATTACCGTCTGACATTACTGTTCTCATCTGCTACCTTGCAATGTAGTTCATGACATTGATTTGCTTAGCTTCATTTAGAATTCTCCCTAACATCATTCCTGTTCTTTCATGGTGATCGAAAGATATGAAGTGTTCGCGCCTTATGCAGGCGTCACACTGTCCCGAATTTGGCATCAGATGGACACACGAATAAGGAAATGTTCAAATTCGGATCTGATCGTAATAATTCGTGCCATTCGTGAGGGCATCTTTTGCCATCGTATGATCCCCGCTGAATATTTCAAGCTCCGGCAGCAACTTCGTGAGCGGTTCCAAAATCTTTGACATGCCAAAAAAATGCCGAAACATTGCGAAGGTTCATTTTTTCGTGTTTGAAGTTCGTATGTCAAATTTTGGTCCTTCGTAAGGCGTCGTGAAGCCATCTGTTCAAAAGTCGTGTAGTCTTGTCGTTTTTTCGGTGTGATCATCGGTTCAATCTGGCATTTTTAGCATCAAAAGAAGATAATACGAAGTAAACGAAGATTCCCGATAGTTTAAAAAGGAACAACGACTACGTGAAGCCCCCGCAATACCTTCGTGTCACATCGTATTTTGGTACGATGTCATCGAGATGCACCACGATGAGGCCGAAGAAAGCAATTTTCAATGGCTCA